GTCATCCTAAAGCTCATCTGGTCTTTGATCATTGGTGTACAGTGCTTCAAACCTATTCTGAAGATGATTTTTAAATTCAAGTAGCATAGACTCAGAACCATGTTTTGGTACTTGTAGTCTTGTTTTCATTTTCTTCAACCTCAGCTTGAACTTGCACATAAGTAATTGATAGTCTATTCCACAGTCAGCACCTGGTCTTGTTTTGACTGATATGAACTTTTCTAACGATTCCTTCCACAGCATAGCCCATGTGATTCTTGTGCAATTCATCAGATGAAGTCCATGTGTATAGTTGCCACTGATGTTTCTTTACAGAGTATTTGAAATAAATAAATCATTGGTGGTGGTGGTGGTATTATCTGCCATTGAGTTGCCTGTGACTTATACAAAGCCTCTATACAATATCTCTGAACCCTGCCCTATCCTGAGCCAATTTCACTGACTCTGACACACCTACCCCTATTACCTCAGTTGCTGTGTCAGTCCCTCTCATTCAGGATCTTCCTCTCCTGCACTGTTCCTCCACCCTTCCAAGCATGATATCCTTCTCTAAGGACTGGTCCCTCCTGGCCATGTGCTGAAGGTATGTGAGATGGAGCTTCAAAATCCTTGCCTCCAATATAGACATATTTTTCCTTTTGCTGGTCCATGGTATGTTTAAGACTCTTCTCCAGCACTACATCTCAAAGGCATCAATTAGTCTTCTGTAATCCTTAGTTATTATCCAGCTCTCTGAAGCATAACAAGTAGTAGATTAGGCACACATTAGTCCCTAGACTGACATCATTGCTTTTCAGCACTTTGGAGAAGTCCCTAACAGCAGACTTCCCCAACGTAATTAGTCTTTTGATTGCCTGACTGATGTTGCCAAAAGTATTGATTGTGGAGCCAAATAAGCTGGAATTGTTAACAACCTCAATCTCATCTCCATCTGTCATGGTGCTGCCAGTTGTCCAGTAGTGAGAGTCTTTCCCTTCTTGATGATGAGCTTCAATGTGTAGAATTCAATAATCGGCTCTCTAGTTCATTTCTCTTACCAAGGGTGTAGTTTCTCGCTATATTGTTCCTTCATTGCTGATGCCAGATAGATCCCAACCAAAAGCAGAGAATATAATAAGACTGTTTGCTTGTAATTTATTGACTATATGAAGGTATTTGACTGTGTCGATCCAAACAAACTATGGCTAACATTAAAATGAATTAAAATCTTAAAACACTTAATTATGCTTATATAAAATCTGCACCAAACCACGAATCTATGTCTAAACAGAACTAGGGAACACTGCATGGTTCTGCATGGTTTATAATTGGGAATAGTGTGCACCAGGATTGCTTCCTCTCTCCACACCTATTCAAGCTGTATGCTGAGCAAATAATTTGTGACACTGGGCTCTATGATGAGGAATGTGGCATCAGGATTGGAGGAAGATTCATCAGCAACCTGCGTTATGAAGATGACGCAATTTTGCTTGCTGAAAGTGAGTAGTACTTTTAAATGCTTGCTACAGAAGAGCAAGAACTACAGTCTTTGATATGGATTACATTTCAACCTCAAGTAGGCAAAAATACTCATCATTGGGGCAGTACGCAGCATCATGATAGATGGAAAGAGAATGAAACTATCAAAGATTTTATCTTACTTGGATCCAAGTCAGTACCCTTGGTACCAACAATCAGAAGATTAGGAGTCATATTGCTTTAGACAAGTCTCCTGCCAGAATGCCTCTCAAAAATACCAAAGAGCAGTGATGTTAGTTTGAAAACTAAGATGTGCCTAATTAAGACCATGGTCTGTACCATCATTTGCTATTCATCTGAGAGCCAGACAATGTATAAGGATGACAAAAGAATTGATGTCTTTCAGATGTAGAGTTGGAAGAAGATTACTGAATACATTCCATGCACTGCCAAAAAGAACAAACAGTTATGCCTTGGGGAATGTGCAGCCAACCTCCTC